TCATATTCTCATGTACTCTTGATATCTTACATAATTTAATTTTGTGTGGAGTGTTGACTTAGTACCTCTACAAATCACTCCTGATTACAGCTCTATTTCCAGTGTCCCCAAAGACACAAAAAACATGGCAGGCTCACACGTCTACCACACCTTATCCAGAATGATAGGCATTTTCTGTTCCCACTTGTACCCCTGCTGCTAAGCTTCCTCCATTAATGGTTCTCTGGGTTCAGGTCATGCCATCTCTATTTAAGGCTATGAGCCTCGCTCTGATGTTTGCTTATTGTCAGAAGCATGCAAGAATTTGAGATAAAAACAACACATTTGTTTATAGTTTCTTTCTACCTCATACACATTTAGGATTTTACCTTTCTGCTTTTAGTATGGGGGTAAAGGGCTAGGGCCACTTGGGAAGCCAGCCTGTGGGCTTACAGTTGAAGTTTATACACAAGGATGCTCTGTTTGGCCAGCAGGGACCAACCCTACTCCATTGAGCCTGAGATGCCTTAAATGGAACATACACTCTCCTCATTGCCTCAGGGTCCATACTTCCAATGGTTGAGTTCATTCTCCAAGGGGCATCAGAATCTTTTAAGTTCTCTTTCCCTGAACAGTTTAAAAAATAGTCCTGCTTGTAGAGGTAATTACTTCAATAAGTTACATAAATGCCTAATCACTATATTGTACACTTGAAACTAATATAACATTGTATGTCAACTGTAACTGAAAAATTTAAAAAAAATATTTAAAAAAAGAAAAAAAAATAATAATTTGACCCTCTTAAAAAAATGGTCCTATATTCCAGAATAATTATACCTGTTTGTACATTTGGCTGGGGACTTAGCTACTCACTTGTGCAAAGCAAGTGATTTCCTTGTTCATTATGTAAAAGTAATAAAATTAACAATTGTATGGTGCTTTATTGTTTATAAAGTATTTCTACTTAATTCATTTGGGTATTATAGATGGGAGGTAATATAGCATGATTAAGAATATGGGCTCTGGAATTAGACAATTTGAATTTGAGCTTTAGGAATTGCTAGTCTAGTCTCAGTTTATAAACCCATTCAATTTTCTCATCTGTAAAATGAGGTGGCGCCTATCTTTTAGAGTCATTATAAGAAGTATATAATTCACACAAGACAACTAGAATAGTAACTGACTCATAGTTAGTGCTAAGTAAATCTTACCTGCTAAACTATTATTATTAACTAGAGACCATGCACTTGGGGAGGGGGAGGCTCTCTCAGTTCAGCCTGAGCCCTCTTGCAGTCTGGGAGCCCTTGGGAAATGTCCAACTGCCAGCTCAGGAAGGCTCTCACCACTGCCGCTATATTCTCCAGCCGTGAGCCTGGCTTCTGGCTGAGCGGTGCTTCCGCTGTGGGAGTGCACTGACTACTAGGGAGCAGCTCCTAAATTGAGTGAGATTGGGCCAAACCTGGCTGACATCCCCCTAAGGAGTCCCGGATTGTGAGAGGGTACAGGCCAGGCAGAGGAACCTCACTGGTGCACAGTTGGGGATGGGGAGGAATGCAGGAAATTGGCCAGCAGGGGAGGGACCAAGCTAGGGCTCCAGGGCATGTCTGGCCCATCTCGCTCAGTCCCAATGGGCCAGACCCCAGCAGCAAGCTAACCTACAGGTTGAAGTGTCTGCCTCCTGGTGATCAGTGCACATCATAATGAATGGATGACTGGTTGACTATCTGCCCCCTGATCGTCAGTGCATGTCACAGTGAGAGGTTTGAACAGCCTTAGCGTATCATTAGCATATTATGCTTTGATTGGTTGAACGGCCAACTGGATGACCAGACACTTAGCATATTGGACTTTTGTTATATAGGATAGTACATGAAGAAATGTAAACTTGAAAAATTTAAGCAATGTATTTAAGGTAACACAACTATTTGGACTTTGCCAAGATTTAGAAGCACTGGGTATTGGTTTCTTTTCTCTGTATTTACTGCTGAATTCCTCATACATTCTGGGGGGACTGGAAAACAAGTCATCATTCTTTTTCCAACTTCTGTATTTTCATTTTGTTTCCTCTCACTTAGGACTCATGAACTATTGCTGTCCACTCATGAGCTCTTTCTGTTAGAATTTACCATGAGAGGTAGTAAGGCATAGGTTATGTCTACAGCCCTGCAGGTGGTGGAGACTTGACAGAGATGTTGGGGACTTTGGGTCCCTCTGAATTTTTCCAGCATAGATAGTCTGAAAAATTAACCTCCTATTTCTATTAAAGTATTAAGTTATTGCCATTCATCAAAAAAATTTTAAAAAACCAGTGAGAATATATTACTTCTTAATGCTTTAGTTTCTTTTCCTCTTAAGAGGGAGAATACTTACATTTTTGTGACCTCATTTGTCATTACACATTCCTTTGAGGTAGTGGAAGAAAAGGTGATATCATCTCCATTTGTTGGGGAAAAGTAATTGAAGTCCAGTGTGAAAAGAATACCAGCTTCAGAGTCAGGCAGATGGGGCTCAATTGCTAGCTCCCCCATTTTCTGTTATATTTCCAAGTTCCATTGTCTTCACCTGTATAATGAGGATAAGCAGAGGGTTGTTTGGAGGCTCAAGAAGATAATTCTCACAAAAGAGATAAAAAGTATGTGCCAAAACTGGTTTGGCCCAGTGGATAGAGCATTGGCCTGCGGACTGAAGGGTCCTAGGTTCGATTCCGGTCAAGGGCATGTACCTTGGTTGCGGGCACATCCCCAGTAGGGGGTGTGCAAGAGGCAGCTGATGGATGATCTCTCTCATCGATGTTTCTAACTATCTATCCCTCTCTCTTCTTCTCTGTAAAAAATCAATAAAACATATTTTTTTAAAAAAGTATGTAAGTGTGGCTGTCATTGTGGTTGTGTGGTGATGACTTTTCACACTGGTCCAGGGTCACCCTTAGGAGGGAACCCAGGTCTGGTCATTCCTCATTGAATGCTGTGCAAACTTCTTCACTGGGGTTGTTTCTTTACATTTTAAAATCCAAGTGTTTTAACCTTTTGATTATTAATTTATTTTTAATGTGCCTATTTAGAGAGGCTCTGTATTCAGCTGGCCACATGCAGTGCCCATTATGTAAAAATCCCAGATTTACCTTGTTTCATGAGGCAGAGTTAATGTTAGTGAATCCACATGACCAACAAGGAATATAACAGAGAATCTGTCAAGTGGTGTTTGGGCAGCTTTCTCAGAAAGCGAAAGCAGCATGTAGATACTGAATTACCATGTGCTCAGCATTGTGTGAAGTAGAGGATACAAAAGAAACACCTTCTTTATTTGTCTCTTGCAGGACTGACAGTGTTTTAGGGCAAACTGATGTGATTGTAACCTAACATGATTAAAGAACAATAATAAACACTATTTGATTCAGTCATGTTAGTTAAGTGGGTTCTGATCTGGGCACTGCATGCACTCATAAACTGATGGATCAAGGGACAAGAACACCCACACTTAAAGGTGGTTTCATAAATGAGAATAAGGTTTGCACAGGGTGCAGAAGAGAGATTATGTGGTGTGTGTGCATTTGGTTAAGTGATCCTGATGACTAGTGGGGGATGCTGGACAGAGGAATATTGAGTGAAGAGGACAGAACATCACATTTTAAAAGTCACTGAGACATGAGAGAACTTGGTGATGACGAAGAACAGCATTTGTGGGATAGTGGGCTGGAGAAATGTGCAAGGGATAAGTCATTGAAGACCTTGTGTACCGTGCTGAGAAATCTGAGCATGAAGGTATTGGCAACCAAGCGGGCAAGAGATGATCATAGCAGTGTTTCAGAATGACCACTCTAGGAGGATCTTCCAGAAAAACAGTTGAGAAATAGGGCCTGAATCAATTCTCAGAAGAAAGAGAAAATGAATAAATATAGAATAGTAGAGTAAGTAAGTAGGTGTGTTCACTGTAAGCATTGTAGGAATTTAGAAAAAGGGGTTGCTATAGTGGGGACAATATTTGAGGAATACTCTGATGGAGGCAGATTTGAGTGCCAGCCCAGTGACTTGCCTATAGTAGATAGCCAAGGATAGGATATTGAATGACAGTAAGATTTATAAGCGAGAAAGATATAATGTGTGCAATGGTCAAGGAGACAAATCTAACTGGAAAAGAGTGATACATATAACTATTATACACATTGGTTATATATTTTAGGAAGTTTTTGAAATGCCAGATGAAGGAGTTTAAACTTAATCAATAGGAAGCCATTGAAGATTCTTAACAGATATTTTGATATTTTAAGGTTGGATTAGAAATGTGTTTATATTTTGGGCCTTTTCATCTTGGGTGAAGACGTGTTTGATAAAATGATGCTAATTCTGATTCTTAACGTTTAATGGAAATGCCACAGAGACAGAATTAATTTAGATTGGGAAATAAAGTCAGATGACCCCACTTTGGCTGTGGAATAGTTCATTGTCAGGAGACAAAGGGCACTGAGGCAGAAATGAATCAGTGTCGATATGAGATTTTTGATGATACCAGTCTAGAGAGGGATGGAACAAATAGAAAGATGGGAGAAAGTGTTTGCCCTGTGGAGTTTTTTAAGGGTAGTAAATACATGGCACGTACAGTCATTATCTCGTTCCATCCCATAGGAGGCATAATCTATCTTGGTATGTTTTCCTATTGAGCTCAGTGGTAATCTTGGAGTTTGTGTTAACACAGTGCTCCAGGCAACTACTATCAATTGATCACAGTTGGCACTGGAATGTCATGTCTTCAGTAAGAAATGAATGATATGCTCTGGCTGGTGTGGCTCAATTGATTGAGAGGTTGCGGGTTTGATTCCTGGTCGGGGCACATACCTGGTGTTGTGGACTCAATCCCTAGTGGGGGCTGTGCAGGAGGTAGCCAATCAGTGTTTCTCTCTCATTGATGTTTCTCCCCTTCTCCATTCCTGTCTCTCGGAAATAAATGAAAAATTTTTAAAAAGCAGTGAACAAGAAATAGATTATGATTGTACTCATGATGGAAATCAATTTTTATTTTTCTAGGTGGAACTTGCGGAAATCTGTGCCAAGAGTGAGCGGTATATTGGCACTGAAGGAGGAGGGATGGACCAGTCCATATCATTTCTTGCAGAAGAAGGAACTGTAGGTGGCATTGAGCTATTTGGAAATATCAGCCAGGGAAAGTTCACACAGAGAGGAAGGTTATGAGATCCCTAGCATGCTCGATTTTGGCAGTCTGTTCTATTAGACTATTGTAACATGGTTTTCTCCTCTCCTTTGTAATTCAAGGCTACCACCAATTCACCTATTCTGTTTTATGGTGATCACCTTTCCCTTAAGCTTCCAGAATTACCCCTCAAGTCTGTTTTTCTCTTGTGTTTAGGTTTTTTTTTTTCTTCCTCCTAATTCATTGTTAGGACGATTTCTCAATTCCCTAGTTGTTGAGACCACTTTTCCCTCCCTTGTCCTAAACCACTTCATCTCATGGCATTTCCTAATCTCTTGTTGGTTTTAAACCCAAATGTTAGTTTTCTTACCACATATATTCACAACCCCTCTTTTTATCATTTACTCTTTGGTATCATTTTTCTCTGTCAACATTTTTGGGGTTTCAGTGGTGGGGAAAAGAATGTTGACAGTAACCCAGGAATGAATTCTTTAGCTAGATACCACTTCCTTTTGGCTATCTCCTCCCTTAGGCAGAGTAGAAGTTTTGGGTTGTTGGTCATAAAGTGCCCATTTCCAAAGTAGAAGCAGACATTTCTTTAAAATATTTTCTTAGTTTTTCATCAGATTCCTATTTTCCCAGAATACCTGGATTTTTTCTTATTAAGAATATTTGTTATTGATTCCCCTAAGCCAAAGACATGAGGCATGAGGAAATTTGGTTTAATGCTAAGAAAATACCCTGGGTGTTTTGGATGAGACCTGACAAGCAGAGATGATGTTAATGTAAGTTAGATGTAGATCTGAACAAAGTCCCAATTCTTTGGGCTTGCAAAGCACTTTCCAATTTGACCCTGGCTTTACCCCTCCTATCCACCCTTTCACCATGCCTCCCTCCTCAAACTCTAAGCTTCAGTTAACTTTCAATTCCCAAAGCTCTAATAACACCTCATGGTGTTTTCCCACCTCTGAACTTGCTTATACTTTTCCCTCATCTTGACATCCTATTTGGGTAAAGACACCCTCTGCCTGTCCTACTCTTGCTCATCCTCTAAGACTCAGTTTAGATTTTCCTTTTTTTCCCAAGGGAGCCCACACTAGGCTATATCTGATCACATATCTAAGTATGTGTCTGAATAGCACCCTGCCCTTTACTACCATTGTAACACAATCTGGAAATGTACTTGTCTATTTGACTGCCTTTCCCATTAGGTTGTAAGCTCTATGAGTGCAGGGACAGTGTCTGTCTTGTTCACTGTTTTAAGTACAGTAACTGGAAGTCAACAAATAATTCTTGATGGAAAATGCATTTTTTAGGAAAAAATTTACTAAGATAAATAAGTGCATAAATGGTTAAACATTTTCTGAAATTTTCTTCCAATAGGCCAAGTTGATAGAATTTAGCCCTCTGAGGGCAACTGATGTGAAACTCCCCAGTGGAGCAGTGTTTGTGATTGCCAACAGTTGTGTGGAAATGAATAAGGCAGCAACCTCCCATTTCAACATCAGGGTGATGGAGTGTCGGCTGGCTGCAAAGGTATGAACTTGGTAAACTATTTTCACTTAACGTAAGCTTTCTCTGGTTCTTTTTCTCTTTGTTCCTTATTACTTTGTCTCTTTACCTAAAATTAGGGAAACATTCTGAGTGCAGCAACATTCTAACTCAAGGACAATGGGGTTTAGAGCAATCTTCCAAACTCAGGAGATAAATAAAACTATAGGTGTGCCCTGCCACCTCTAGCCATTGAGAAATATATGAACTTCACAGCTGAGTCTTTTAGAATGGGAATGGGGAAAAGAGGACAGCTTATGTATGTGAAGCACAGGCAATGGATTCAGTTTTTGTGTGGCAAGTTGGAGGTGATTGATGGGAAGTGACCATAGCTGATTTTGTTTCCAGAAGAAAAGTGATGGCAGCTTCAGTCCTTGGTCCTCTTACATGTACCATTTTGTACTGGGCCATCACTGGCTACTCTAAAATATAGGCTTGGTGCAACCCTCCCTGTGCCCAGAATACTTCTACATGTCTAATGGGGAAACACAAACCAGAAGGGAGCCCTGCCAGTTCTTTGTGCCATGTTTTAGAAGACCCTTGCCAGTCCAGCCTTAAATCTTCTTACAAAATATTCATTGAATATTTGTTGATTAACAAAAGGATCCAGAACATGAGACTAGAGAGAGTAAAGAGTTAAAGTTATGAGGATAAAAAAAATCCCTTTGTAAATTATATACATTTCTAACCATTATACTGTACACCTGAAATGAACATAAAATAATACTGAATGCCAATTACAATTGCAAAAAAAAGAGAGAGAGAGAAAGATAAATAAGAGATGATTAGTATGTGATCAGGTGGTATAAAAGCAGGTGATCCAAAAAGTGACACAAATTAAATGTTATGGAGGATCCAGCAAAGCTCATGATGTGATTAAAAAGTGAAGAGAACTGAGACTGGGAGCTGGGTAGTGGAATCTGGGTCAGGAGCTCCACTGTGCTTTCTCCTAATCATTCTTCAAAGAGCAGTTAGAATGATGGTTTAGAAATTTCAGTCTGATTAGGTAATTCCTCAGCTTAGCACCCTTCAAAGCTTTGCATTTCATTGGAATAAAATCAAGTCCTCATCACCACCTGGAGAGCCATGCAGGATCCAAGGCCTGTGTACCTCATCTTCGTCTTCTCTTAGTACCCCTACTCCATTGCACTCTAGCCTGAGCGACTTTGCACATGCCCAAACACTTCTCCTCCAGTCTTCTTTGTCCCTCAGGGAAGCCTTCCTTGACTTACTTATTCCTTATTCCTTAAGATTAAGGTAGGGCTCCTTTTGAACTTGACATCACAGTAACAATACTGTCACAACTGTTTAATGTCTGCCTCCTTTTTTCTGATTTGATTTTACCTGAAAAACAAGACTATCCATTTTATATCCCTAATGCCTGGCATAGTGCTTAGGCTAAAGTAGGCACAGATAAACATCCTATATAATAAAAGCCTAATATGCTAACTGACTGGTAGTTCAGTCGGCCATTCAACCAATAAAAGCATAATATTCTAATGATATGCTAAGGACACTCAACTGCTCCTTATGACATGTACTGACCACCAGGGAACAGACTCTCCGACTGATAGGGTAGCTTACTGCTAGGGTCTGGCCATTCAGGACTGAGTGAGACAGGCCGGACATGCCCTGGAGCCCTCCTGCAGTCCTTCCCTCGCTGGCCAACCTCCTGCGTCCCTTTCCAGCCCTGATCGTGCACTGGTGGGGTCTCTCTGCCTAGCCTGCGCCCTCTCACAATTTGGGACCCCTTGGGGGATATTGGAGAGCTGGTTTTGGTCTGATCCTGCAGGCCAGGCTGAGGGACTCCACTGGTGTATGAACTCATGCACCAGGTCTCTAGTTTGTTAAATAAATGACTACTGCCTGTGTTCATGCCCTATCATGTTTATTTTGCTCAATTTTACACTTTTTTTTTAACAACTGTATATTGTATGCCCAGCACTGGGCTAGCTACTATGGAAATGTATAGTGTGTAGTTCCCCCTTTTAATTGACTTACCCCTTCACTTTTACTCCTACCCTCTAAAGTTGTGAGGTTGAGGAGAGGAGAGATATGATGAACCAGAAAAAATAAGAGCTTTTTTTTTCCCCCTGGAAAGTTTTGGGGTTAAGTATTTTTTTTTTTTAAATCATTATTTAAATTAAAAAAAAATGGAATGTACTCATTCAGATAATTTCTAAAAATTATATAAAAAACAAATGTTTCAATATGACATATGCACAATATTTAATCAGTATATATAGGAGATAAAGTAGTATGGAAAACTTCGATAACAAGGTTTTAGTGTTAGTGGCCTTTTTTGTTGTTTAGGACAGGTTTCCTCTTTCAGGAGATGGAAGAAATTAGTGTGTCATTTGTTTGAGTGCTTATTTTTGTTGATTTCTGATTTTGAGGTCAATGAGTAAGTATTGCCTTCCTGAGGAGACCTCAGATATACACAACATTGTTTTCAGAGTTTATCACAAAATTACATATTCTCTACAAGATCCATACATGAGCTAAAACAGGGATGAGACATGTGACGTAGATTCATGTTGTGACTACTCTCTTCCAAAGACTCAACAAGAAAGTTGAAGAATAAAATTTTGAGACTGAATCTCTGTAGTGAATGTTGTCAAGGAGGGGAAAAATGTCTTTTTGGAATTAGCTACAAAAAGCACATCTCTTTTGAAAACAGCAGCTGAAAACCTTACTTCCCTGTAGAACCACCCGTTCTGGAGGATGCCTTCTGAGTGAGACTGCACAACTCCATACGTGTTTTAAAGGGTCTCTGGTCAGCAAAATTGGCATCTTGATTTTATTTATTTTTTTGGCCACATACTCCTCACAGTGAGTATAGATAAACATTGCTTTAAATACTCTGAATTTTTCTCTTTTTTAAAATATAGAAGAAATAAAGTGACTATTAAGATGGAGAATGTTTTCTAAATCATGTTGCTGCAGATCACTAGAATCCAAGGTTATACATAAAAGGGAAATTTAAGATAAAATTTGCTGATATGGGCTACACACATAGCTATTGATGTTAAGATTATGTTTTTGCCTACAAATATGAACTAGAATTCTGCTAAACGTATTGTCCTTACGATATGATTCCATTTTTCTATAATATGTGAGTGAATATAATTTTTGTTTGGAAATGGTCTCATTGAATCAGGAAATAAAATCTCATGTTAAAAAGGTAAAGAAGCTTGTTTTAATCTGCACAGATTTTTTGTTTTCAGACAATAAAATTGAGGTGTCAGTGGAGAAATTACTAATCAGGATAATTTTGAAAATGAGAGTGAATAGATAAATCTCCACATGCCAAAATTGTACTAATATTTTCTTCTCCTGACTCTCTAAACCCCTCTTTTGAAAATGAGTACCTTTTGTATCTTAATATAGGGAAGTACTCTAAATCAATAACCATGAATTTTCTTTGTTTTATTTTAATATCGATAGTTTCTACTATTCTTTTTAAAATTTTATTTAAGTTTAGTTAGTATGCAATATTATATTAGTTACATTAGTCTCAGGTGTGTAATAAATATAGTGATTTGACATTTTTATAATGTGTTTACCCAACTAATTCTAGTAATCATCTGTCACTGTGCAAACTTACCACAAGGTTATTGAGCATATTTCCCTTCACCCTTTTCATCCATCTTTTAACCCCTCCTTTCTGGTGACTATCCCTTTGGTCTCTGTCTTCTGTTCTTAAGATTCCTTTCTCTCCCTCTCTCTCCTTCCCCCTTCTCTCTTTCCAGCAGCTTCTAAAAACTAATTGATGTAGATTCATTAAAAATCAGTGTCATGTAGAGCCATTGAACTAAAATTAAAAACATTTCAAAGCAAACTCAATAGAGATTTATAATTATTACTTGCGTAAATGATACTTTTAAGTGAAGCACATTTTTATGTTCTTAAATTAACAAAGTGGCCAGAAATCTTTAATGAGCACAACATTTTTCATTTTTTACATGTATTCAGTGGCTTAAAATTTTTCCAGAAATGTTTTATGTCTATAAAAAAGAGAGTAGCCCTTAATTATATTGAGGGATAAAATGTGTGATGCCAATAATAAATATTACGGGAAATAAAAAAGGGAAGAGAAATTTTACTATTGCTTTTTGCATATCCTGTGCTCCTTGTGGCAGGCAACATGTGAAGCAACGGAGGAGAGAGTTTCATGTGGTCCTTTGACACTTAAAGGGAAATTCACAGCGTGATTCTTTACAGGGGCCACCACACACGCAGTTTTTTAGCTCCTGCCACTTAGTGGTCACTGTGGAACTTATTCTCTCTGTGGTGAAAGAATGAGGAGAAGTGGGCATAATATTTTCAGGGCTTTGGCAGTTTCCTTGAATTTGAGAAAAATTCTTGGGTATGTGGCCAGTTTCACTGAGACTGTTGATTCAGTGGAGCACTCTCTGCCAAGACACTCGTGTGGAGTTTTCCTAGAATGGCGAGTCCAGGCTGTAGGGCAGAGGACTCACACTTTGGGGAACAGGGTGGATGCGTGTAGTGGAGCCAGGTTGTGGCAGAGCCTTCAGTGCTGTGCTAAGGGTCACACTAGTATTTTAGAAATATTAGTCTGGTAGCAGCGTCTTTGTCTTGGTTGAAGAGAAGCGGGTCTCAAAGTGTCAGTGAGGATGGGATAAAAAGGCTCTCTGATTGGATGTCTGTCTTCCTTTTGGCAGAAACACCATTGTTTGGAGGCGGTATCCCCCTGACCACCCTTCCTGCTTCCATTGTGTTAAACGACCTTTTTACATGCTCTGACCACATTCTGTACTTTTCTATTAGAGCAGCTTATCACAATTGGATTAAATTCTTCACTGTGTAATTGTTAAACATCTGTCTCCTTGGGTAGACTGAGCTCTGTGAGGTCAGAAGCCATGAATGTCTTCTTTACTGCTGATTGTCCAGGACCTGCAAAGTAGTAGGTGCTCAGTAACACTCATTGCCTGCAGATGCACAGGAGTGAAAGCGAAGTGTTG